CATGGGGAGCCCAACTCCTCCCTCTTTCCCATCTCCATTTAACTTCCACCAACTCCACCTGTGAAGCCCTTGTGGGGCTGCCTCACACCAGCTCTCTGCTCTCCCACCAGCACCTCTGAAACAGCCCTGTGCCAGGTCCTGCTGGGGGTGCGGCAACTGGTGAAGCCAGGGCCGCACGCCATGTACACCCGGGTGAAGCGGGTCAAGAGTAACCCCCTGTACCAAGGCATGGCCTCTAGTGCCGATGTGGCTCTGGTGGAGCTGGAGGCACCTGTGACCTTCACCAATTACATCCTCCCTGTGTGTGTGCCTGACCCCTCAGTCATCTTTGAGACGGGCATGAACTGCTGGGTCACCGGCTGGGGCAACCCCAGTGAACAAGGTAATGGGGCAGGGCCAGGAGAGAATGCGGGACATGCCTAGAGAAGGCAGCATGGGGGCCACTCTGAACCAACAATCTTTTTCTGTTGATATTGGTGCACATGATCTCTACTCAAATGGGTGGAGTAGGTATGGGAAAGGGGCAGTAGACTCAGGAAGAGGAGGCATGGGGAAGTGGAGAGTGGGGAATAGAAAGAGCCCAGGCTGGTGGGTAGGAGGAGGGAAGAAGGAATTCTGTCTCACAAAGCCCCCAGCCAGAAGAGAAGGTCTAAACTCAAGCAAGAAATGGGGAGGGACAGAGTTGTGGTTCTCAAGAACCCAGGGCCCCAGAGTCGTTAGTAAGACTGTCCACTGAGTCGCAGGCTGTGTCTCCCCTCCCTAGACCACCTGCCCAACCCCCGGATCCTGCAGAAACTCGCTGTGCCTATCATTGACACGCCCAAGTGCAACCTGCTCTACAGCAAGGATTCTGAGCCTGGCTTCCAGCCGAAAACCATCAAGGACGACATGCTGTGTGCTGGCTTCGCCGAGGGCAAGAAGGACGCCTGCAAGGTAGGGACCAGGGTGGGCCGTGCCAAGGCTGAGCCCTGCTCCCCAGACCCCAGTCAAGGTGGAAGCCAGCCCACCTGGGACAAGGGATAAGGCCCCAGGAGGCGGGCCCATGGGGTCAGGACAGGGCTGTGCATTTGACCAGCTGGGAAAGCAGATTCCTGGACCCCACCCGGGGGAGTCAGGCAGCAGGTCTGCAGTGGGACCCAGGAAACTGCATTTTCAACACACTCTCCTGAGATGAATCAGGGTGGATAGTCTGGGGATGTTAGAGAAATGGGCACCCCAGGTCAGAGAGGAAGGACTGGGTGGCGAGGTGGGGGTGGGGGGGTGGATCCTGGGCAGGGAAGAACAGATAAAGGGAGGCAGACAGGCATGTGTGCACCCATGTAGCTGCAAAGCCTGCCTCTTGGGCCTCCGTGGACTCTAACGGTACCTCTTCTTCACCTGCAGGGAGACTCGGGAGGCCCCCTGGTGTGCCTTGTGGGTCAGTCATGGCTGCAGGCTGGGGTGACCAGCTGGGGTGAGGGCTGCGCCCGCCGGAACCGCCCAGGTGTCTATATCCGGGTCACCTCCCACCATAACTGGATCCATCGGACCATCCCAGAACTGCAGTTCCAGCGGCCTAGCTCGGGTGGCCAGAAGCGGGACCACCGGGGCCAGCAGCCCCTCGGTCGGAACTTTGCACCCTGCCTGGCAGCCCATGCCATCCTCCTGGTCCTCATGGCCCTGCTCACCTTCCTCTGATCTGCGCTCAGGCCAGTGGGCCTGTGGCGCCCCGGAGCCTATGGTGTACATTTGTAAATAGCTCTCCAATTCTCCCTACTCTCTAACACCCACTTATTTTTATTTATGTTCACTCTCCAATAAAACCCTAACCTCAGTGCCGGCTGCCTGGGTGTAGACCCTCGGGGAAGGATGGGGCCGGTGCTGGGCAGGGGGTGTGGCGGATGAGGCTCCCCAGTGGAAGGAGCTATAGCAGGCACACTGGAGGCTAGACATCACTGAGTCCTGTGACACCTGTGGCCTGACCCCCTCACAGGGGCTTCCCTGACCCGCCCCCCCACCTCAGCATCCTTGCCAACGTGGTCGTCACCATGAGTGTTGCCAAGGGGTGCCCTGTGCTGGGCACTGGGGGCAGCAACAGACACTGGCAGGGGGCCCGGCAGAGGGTCCTGAAGGAGGGGGGCTCTGCGGGGCGTGGGGGAGAGCACAGCCCCCACTGCCTATGTCTGAATCACCCTGAACTTCTCTTGGCTGTCACACAGAGGAGGCAAGGCCCAGGCCACTCGGGGCCGTGGAGGTTGGCAGGACAGGCCCCCCACCGAGACAGGCCAAGGCTTCAGCAGCTCCCTGGGCCAGGACCCCCTCCTTCTTCCTTCCGCAAAGTTTGGGGTTCAGGCCATCCTTGCAGCAGTCTTTAATGGTTTCTGCGAGGATCCCTGGGGAATTCAGGAATGAGCTGCAATCCTGCACAGAGAGCCTGGTGTTTGGCCCTGCCCCCAGGGGCCCCACCCCAGCTCTGCTGCCCCCTCTCGTCCCTTGTCCTGTCAGTAGCTCCACGCCATCCCCCTCCCAGTCCTCCCGTGACGACCTGTGGCCACCAGGAATCCAGCAGAAATAGGTCTCAGAGCCCAGGCCCCAGCTCGCTCTGGCCCTGCCTGTCCTGGCCGCGATGGTGCGGCTGCCCACGGAGGTGGCCCCGGGTTCTCAGCCTGGCCCAGCATGTCCACGGCAGGCCTTCTGCAGTTGGACGGCCAGCTCCCCAGTGTGGGCTGATTCCTGAAAGGCACCCAGCCTCCTGCCGTGCTCAGTGACCATGAACAGACGAAGAGGCCTGAGAGGGCAGGGCCTCGCACACCACACACGCACACCCATGCTCACATGCTAGTACATGCACACACTTGCACACCCACACACAGAGAAACATGCACACGTACGTGAGCACGTGCACAGGCCCAGCTGGCCCGGCAGGTGCTGGGAGAATGCAGGCCTGGGTATTTATGGAACGTATCAATAAGCACTTAGCAGGCACCTGCTGTGGACCGGCCCCGGGAATGGAGTGGGGAACACACACTGAATTCGCCTCTGCTCTGCTTTGCCTGGGCATGTTCCTGCCAGGCAGGGAGCACTGCTTGGTGGCCCTCCAGGGACTGAGCCATCTGAGGGCTTTTTCTCCAGAGCAGAGATGGATTCCGAGTCCCGGCGGGGAAGGTGGGGGCACGGGGCAGCAGGTGCACTGAGGCCTGATGGGGGGACGACCGGGCTGTGAGTGTCCTGAGAGTGGTCCCAGGGACAAGTTCTGGGTCATCTTGGCTGGGAGCAGGGGCTGGCCTGGGTCCTGCAGCTTTGGAGAGAGGCGACCCTGCTGTGGGGAATAGAAAGAGCTTCAGGTCCTGCAGTGATGGGGGTCAGAGGAGGTTAGGTGGCCCATCTGCCACGTCTGTGGTGAGAGGCCAGGATGGAGCCCAGGTGAGGGCCAGGCCCCCCTTGGAGGAGGACTTGCCACCCTGCCCCTGCCTCCTCTTCCTGCTGTCTTAGCTTTCTGAGTGCCCTGGGGTCCCCCATCACCCCACCATCCTCCTGCTTCTGCTACAGGGCAGGGGTCTGGTCAGGGTCCTGTGGGCCTAACAGGGAGGAGGGGCGAAGATGTCAGGGCAGCCCAGTGCTCCTTAGTGACGCCCCACCCAGCCAGGATAGGAGAGCGAGGCTAGGGTCCTGAGTGGGTCCCAGGCGGTGGCCAGTGTGCGACCCTAGGGCACAGATCCCCCACGCCCTGGGCTCCCTAAACCCAGGGTGGACACTCAACAAGACAGCTGCAGGAGGGGAAGGGACACACTCGTGCAGAGACTAGGGGTTTAAAGGGAAGCAGGTTTTATTCACACTGTTCACAGTGCGCTCAGTGCTGTGAAGGGGAAGGAGAGAAGTGCCCCCAGCTGTCACGGGTCCCCTCTCCCACCTGGGTGGGGCGCCACTCAGACACAACTTTCCATGCTGCCCCCAAGCAGCGCCTCAGGGCCACCGCCTGGTGGGTGGGGGCCCTGGCTGCGGGGAGAAGGCTTTGGAGTGATAGCCGGCTGGCACAGACCACTAAGCCGTGGCGGGCGGAGGGAGCGGGGCTCAGCCCAGGGCAGGGCCCACCTTGCAGCAACCAGAGCAGCCAGCAGGTGAAGCCACAGGAGGGGGCCACAACCGAGCCTGGAAATCCATGTGCACACACACCATACTGCACGCTTAGGATCAGCCTGTGGGAGCCCCAAGAAGGAAAACCACTGGGCCAGGACTCCAGGACCCCTGACCCCTTCTGGACTCAAGGATCAGGGGTCAGCCATGGTCCTGATGCCAACACCTGGAGCAGGCAGGGGTGCAAATCAAAGCCCCCCCCACCAAACCAGAGACACCGTCCCGACCCAGGAATTGTACACCAGCGTCCTGATTTGCAGTTTGTCTCAGGGAAGCACGGCTCAGTCCAAAGGTGCCAGAGCGGCACTGCCTCTGCTCACAGATGCCAGCCCTGGAAACACGACAGACACTCCAAGAAGGCTGAGAGTTTGGGTTGCAGAAGACTCCGGCATCTCGGGGTCAAAGACATCCTACCCAACCTCTGGGAGCCAGAGCTCTCCAGGGAACACGTGGAATGGGAATTTCCTCAAAGCCTTGGCGTCCCGGGAGTTTCTGAAGAGCCACCACCAGGGGGAGCCAGAGTGGCTGTGGGGGGGTGCGGGCCCAAGGAATTTCAGAGAAATTTCTCTGAAGCTGGTGCTTCTGGCCAGGGAAAGAGACAAGACAGGTGCACACGCTTGATGCAACGAGGCATCCGTACTTTTAAAAAAGTCTCTTGAAGATGATCTCCTTGGCCCAAGGGATGGGGTCATGATACCATCAAGAGATGATGGGTGAGGGCCGGGGGCTGGTCCAGCCAAGGGGGGGAGACAGGCCTGTGCTGCTCTAACCTGCCAGCCCCAGGCTGGACAGTGACACAGGCGGCAGGCCCGGGGCTGCCGCGAGCCCAAGGCGGCGCTTCCGCAGTAGTGGCTCTTCCGTGCATTTTAAGACACTAACAGTTGTTCTGCTCATTCATAAATACACAATTTTATTTGCTATTTTCAGGGGAAACTTAGGCATTAAACTGTAAGCTGATAAAATACGGATACCTAAAAAAGTACAAAAGTATAAATATCCCCTTACAATAAATTTTAGTGAATTAAGTCTTAATATCTTTAAATTAAAAAAAAAAAAACCCACAAGCCTATCTATTACGTCAAGGTCACAAATCAAACAACGCTAAATGGCCAGCAGCGCCCCACTGGTACACCCCGAGGCCAAGGAGGGGCTGCCCAGCCCCCGCGCGCTCCACCGGGAGGACAGGTCACCAGGGCCAAGTGTGTCCTACAGAAAGATTGCTATAAACAGATGAAGCCAAACATTTAACAACATACAACAGACCTTACAAAAGGAGGAGGTAAGTCCTAGGTGCTGGAGAACTTGGTTCATCAGGTAATATTGGCAAAGGAGAAGAGGGCACAGGCAAGAAGCCTCTGGAAGCGTCTGGAACCAGACAGCGGTCGGTAGGCACAGCTCCCCTGGAAGCTGGAGGTCAGGAGGCAGAGCCGCCTGCCCGGCCAGGCCCCCCAGATGGACAGGACCCACGACCAGCTGAGGAAGGTCTGCTCTCAAAGCATGCGGACAGCGGTTTTCAAAGGAATCCCGGTAGCTCCGTCACGTCAGGGGGCAGGGCCCGTGCAGCCTGTGTCCCCACCGCCCCAGAAACGTCAGAGAGAACTGCATAGTTACACGAGAGAGCCGGCGAGAGAGAGATGTTTGTGATGTGCTGTAAACACCCAATTTCCAATGTGACCTGGAGTTTCAGCTCCAGAAGCCGGGTGGACAGGCTTCCCGCCCCGACCTCCATCCCAGGCGAGACCAAGGCACTGATGGGCGCCAGCTCCCCCTGAGCCCCAAGGTGGGTCAGACGAGGCAAAACTTGTACCTCCCTTTACATGACTTAACAGATCAGCCCAAAAGGCAGCAGCACTTTTAGGCATTTCTAAGAAGTGAAAGCACTGGGTTGTCTATCCACAATTGGAAAGAAAGGATGCAAAGGTCTCTCGCCTGGAAACTACAAATGGAGAAGCCTTGACTGTGCCAGGCCGGATCAGGCCAGTGGAGCCCAGCTCTGAAGGAGGACCGGGAAGTAGTGAACACGCGGAGGCTGGGAGAAACCACCAACCCGGTCATGTCTGGGAGGCACAGCAGACCCCCTGCCCTGAGGAAGAGGGCCTGGTGCATGCCAGGGTGACCAGCAAGCACCCAGAGCCCAGGGCTGTGGTGCTGCGGCCACTTCCTACCAGCAAGGCCCAGGCTCTGTTACAGGCTGTTTATGTAGCACCAAGAACGCTGTCCTTTAAATGATCTTCGGTGATTAAAGGGTCAGTCAGGAGCGCCCTGCCTCAGGCCCGAGCGGCACTTGTGAAAACCAAGCGGAGGGCCCTACAGAGACGCCCGCCCAGGCAGCATGCCGCCTCTGAGTGGCGACGCCCGGCCTCGGACAGCTGGTCCTGTCTCTCACCACCCACCTCAGAGGCAAAAAAAGGATTCACACCCAGATCTCTAGAGAAATTGTCAAAAGCAGGTTTCTTCTCACGGCCAAGCTTCCTCGACATGGCAGATCATTGCATCTTGGGAAAAGGTAAAACGTCTCTTCAGTTGTCAACACTGTGTTCCTCACATCCTTGAACCCCGTTCTTGCAAAATCTGAAAATGCCAAATGCAGACAATGAGGACTCGGGCCCTGAATGGAAAGGCAGCCTGCAGCCGGGAGCTTCACGGCCCTGAGGCCAAGTGCCCTGCTTGGGGGTGGAGCCCACCGCAGGCCAGGGTCCGAGAATGGGGACCCCGTTGTGCAGGCCTAGCTTGCCCACCTCCAGGCCGCACACAAGGGGCAGGCCTCCCAGCTCTCCACCTCTCCACCCGAGCCTGACATCACCATGCCTAGGAAGTAGTGAACCTGTGGAGGCTGCGAGAAACCACCGAGCAACCACGCCTGGGAGGCAGCAGCAGACCTGTCCTCAACCCGGCGCCTCCTGGGCCTCCTGAGACATGCGGCAGGGCTCCGGGGAGATGACTCCTCATTGAGGCCCCAAGGACTTCTGGGCAGCATCTCGCTCGATGGCCTCCTGAGGATGGGAGGCTCCCTGCTCCCAAGGGTGCCAAAGCCCACCTGGCAGTTTAACTGCCCACCGACTCCTGATTTTCTCTCCAGCCCAGCTTGATCCCGGGCAGAAGACACATGTGTGCAACCAGGGCCCCCTGGGCCGCCAGCCCAACCTGCCCCTCTTCTTTCTTCCATGCCCCATCATAAACCACGTCCCTTCCACCCTGCAGCCACACACCCAGAAACCTGGGCCCCTGGGATTGCTGTCACCCCCACATCCATACGTGCCAACTTGCTCCCCACACTGCCTGGCTGGGGTCACATCTTCTGTAAATGGACCACCCTCCTTGAGGGTGCCAGCCACCTCCTTGCTACAGCCAGACAGGACTCTCTGGGACACACACCTGACCCCACTGGGGGACCCTGCCAGCCCTCGGCCGCCATGCTTGAGACTCTCCCTCCCACTCCTCCTCAGCACCTCGGAGCCAGAGCAGCGCCCCCACCCGGCCTTCCTCGCCACTGGAACCATCCATGCCTCCCATCTTCCCCCAAATCAAGCTGCGAGCTCCTCAAGGCCACAACCCCATGGGAGCCAGGGGAGACTTTGGAGCTGGCAAAGTGTGCTGTTTCGACACGTCAAGCGTGGCTACTGAGCATCAAGTAACCAGGACAGAAAGGCCACGCGTCCCGGCCAAGCCCAACCATGCCCAGGCCAGCGCTGTAAGATGACCCTCCCTGCGATCCCACTGGCAGCGAGAGTGGCCTCCCGGGGGCATTTTCCACTTGAATTTCAGAGCTAAGAGAGATACGGCCCCGAGGACACTGTGTGTTGCTGAGCCCTGGACCCGGTGCAACGCGGGGACATGCCTGGAAGGGGCCCGCCCTGCTCGTGCCAGGCCCAGCTCACACGGATGCCCAGCCAGAGTGAGGCCCTGCAGGCACAGGCAGACTTCTCAGGCTCATGGCCAGTGGCCACCGGCCCTGACTCCTGCTCACTGTCAGGGCGGCTGTCCAGAACCACACGGCCCATCTCTCACGTCCCCCGAGGGCTTGTTCAAATGACTCAAGAGAAGCCCAAGCTCTCCAGGCTGTCCCCTGACGCCCCCCCATCCCTGTGGTTCCCCAGGCCTGTCCCTCTCTCTCTGACAGCTCCGAGGCCGTCCAGGAAGCACACCCTCTTGCCCGCTGCCCATTCCCCTAGGTGCACCTTCCACTGTGCTGGGGGAACAGCACCCCAGGCTGAAGGCCCCTCCTCAGGCCAGACAAGGACAAGCCCCTAAGCCCGCTCACTGGGAAAGCCCAGGAGGCCCCTGTCGGAGGGACATGGTCTGAGGACGTGACTTGGGGTGAGGGTGGGTCCCCACTCAGCCCTAGAGGACCCTCTGGCCCCCATGGTGCTAGTCCCAGCCCCAAGAAGGTCTGCCACCCTATCATCGTGGCTGTTTGCAGGGAAAGCTGGAGTTTGGGGGGCCATGAAGCCGAGAGCTGCTCACTCAGTGGGAGCCCAGCAGAGCAGACGGCGTCCGAGTTCACAGGCCTCAGTGGTGGAAAGGACAAGGCCCACGTAACTACCACGTGGCCTGGGAGCGAGGTGACAGCACAGGAGGGGCCGCCCTGCCAGAGCCAGAGCCCCAGTGACTATCTCCTAACAAGGACAGAAGACCCCTCCTGGGACCTGTGACGGTCACGGCCTGTCTGCCCTGGAAGGAGCTCTCACTTGGGCTGCCGCCCACAAGGAGGCCTGAGCTGGGCCACAGGGACTGAGCAGGCTGTGCATGGCACATGGCACCCCCGCCCCCCGCCCCAACCCAGCGGGCCCAGGGGCCAGGACCACTCCAAGGCTGCCCTGCCATCAGCTCACCTCGCCCCTCCCACAGCCCAGACCCTGGCAGTCAGGGCCACTGAAGCAGCTCCTGCCAGCAGATGTGAAGTCTGTAACTGGGGGTGGGGGGTGGGCAGTGCTGCTGAAAGAAGCCCCTCCTCCCTCCTGGAGGTTGGCTCCTCTGTCCCTGCCCCCCCACCCCACCCCGTGTCCCTGGCTCCTACCACAGTTGACCATCAGGCCAGGCCAAAGTCAAGCTGAGCCCCTAAGGTGCAGTCACTCCAAACCGAGACGGGCCACAAATGCAAACTACCGCCTGATTTCAAAGACTTAGAGAAGAGCAAAGTAAAATATGTCAGTGATTTTTTAGGTTGAAATGACAATATTATGCATGTAATGGGCTAACAGTATCAGCATCAATTTCACGCATCTTTTTACTTTCTTAATGTGGCTGCTAGAAAGTTTAAAACAACAGATGGAGCTCGTGCTGCACATGCCCTGGACGGCAGTGGTCCAGACTAGGGCCCAGCAAACCTTTCCTTAAAGGGCTAGGTAGTAAATACTTCAGGATTTCCGAGTCAAGAGGTAAAGCTGAGGATATTATGCACTCATTTAATCACCAGAAAAATAACCACTAAAAACGCAAAAGCCATTCTTGGTCTGCGTTCCCAGACCAGACTCATAGCCAGATGTTGGCCTCTCAGCACGTGGCCGGCCACAGGCTCTTCCCAAGCTCCTCACCTGCAGGGCTTGGCGGGGAACCCCTGCATGACACCTGTGCCCTGCCCTCTCTGGGCCTCAATCGCCCCTGTGCAACGCGAGGGAGCAGACGAGGCGCTCCCTGCTGATGGGATCCTGGCTGAGCCACAGGTTTTCGACAACAAGAAGGACCAGGAGGCAGCAGGGACTTGAGGAGCAGCGAGGGGCTGAGGGGGCGTCCACGGAGCCTCCCATGACAGGGCAAACAGGAGGGTCCCCACAGACTCCTCTCCACCAGCACCCCTAGTCTGAGGCATGAGGGAGTAGGGCTGCCACAGGCTTTGGTGTCGGGATCAGGGCCCACTCTCTGTGGCACAAGTTCCGACTCCTTGGCCCTGAGCCCGTGGGTAGACTGGTGACGGTGGGGAGACTGGCGGGCTGGGGGCTGCGTGTCCCTAGGGGGCGCAGGCCCGCATCCCTGCTGCTGGCACCCATAGCAAGGAGGCCCTTCCCAAGCCTGACACACACAGCGTGGAGGTGCCTCAGCCAAGGTCCCAACCCCACCCACACAGGCATCCTCAAGGGGACAGACAGCCCCGCCCCGAGACAGACTGGCTCCAGTGCAGATCTATGCGCTGGCATCTACCATGGAAGGTTCTCTGTCAACTACAGGCATGAGACAGACGCAGCGAAGGAGGGGCTGGGATCAAGGAGACTAAGGTAGGTGGTCAGTTTCAAGGGCGCAGGCTCACCATGACATTTACACTTAATCTGAGTCATTCCCTTCGTGACCCGTGTCCTCGTCGTCACTCTGGCTCGGCACCGGCAGGCGGCAGGGAGGAGAAGAAGAGAGGGACCGTCAGTGCAGGGCGAGGCGGGAGGCAGCAGAGGGAAGCCCACCCAGACAGGCCAGGTCTCCACGGGACAGCAGAGAGCACGGCGCTCAGGAATGGACCTAAAGTTGTGCTGTGCGGCGAACTACAGGCCAGCCTCGTCCAGATCACACTGTGGGGGGAAGCACGACGTCCCTGGGCCCCAGCACTCCTGAAGTTCCAGAGTTTTCCTTCCCTCTGTGTTGTGAAAAACTGAACCTTGCCCAAACAGAGGTCTGGCCTTTGCCCTCGGCTCCTGGGAGGTCATGACCTCCAGGACACACCAGTCTGACCATGTGATGGGGGGGGGGGCAGTTGGCTGGGGGACTGGAGACTGCAATCAGGCACATGGGTGATCAACTGTTGATCAATGGATCAATCATGCCTACGTGACTGAGCCCAGTAATATCTCTACACACGGAGGCTGGCGGGGCACCCCTGGTGGGCGGTGCTCTGTGCATGGTGCCACGCATCCTGACTGCACAAGGAGCACCTCTGCGACATGAGCTCCACGTCTGGCATACTTCCTGGCCTCTGCCCCACACACCCTCCCCTGGCAAGTTTGAAATCCCCCCTCTTTCTGTACTTCCTGTAATAAACTGTAACTTTGAGCAGAACAGCCAGCAGTGAGCTCTGAGTCCTCCCAGCAGATCATGGAGTAGTAGAGTGGTTTGGGAAGCCCCTGAAGTTGGGGCTGCTCTCAGTGGACCGGTCCCCTCGCTGAGTTGCCCGACCCCTACCCGCTCTCTCCTGTCACTTCCACCTCAAGACACCGTGTGTGTGTGTGTGTGTGTGTGTGTGTGTGTGTGTGTGTGTGTGTGTGTGTCTGGCCCGTGCTGTGGGCACCCAATGAGCAGGTCCACAGTAGTGGACCCAGTGTCCTCAGAACATGAAGTACTGCTCCAACCAGGCTGTGCACAGGTGTCCCCAGATCATGACCCCCAATCCGGCCTCAACACTTTTCCATGGCTTACAGAGGCCCTGGCTGTGCTCCACCTCCTGGGGAGCTCCTGCCACGGCCCCAGTTTAGAAGCCGCTGTTGCTGCCACACTCCAGAGCCAGGTATTTCTGGAGAGAGAAATAGGGCCGCACTTTCAATGGCAAAGGGATTTGGGGTCATGAGTGGAGTTCTGTCAGCACAAACGCATCCCTTCTGCAGCTGAAAAGCCACCCCAGGGACATGAGCTCAGGCAGTTGCCCTGGAGAACTTGGCTATGAGAATTTTTCAAGTTCAGAAATAAAAGTTTCTAAATATAAGACAACTTGCAAAAGAGCCCTGCAAATGCTCAGAGAGGTATGGCTCCTCGTGAGGCTGGGGGCTCCGGGAGGTGGGGTTGCCTCCTACCCTGACTCAACAGGAAGCATGTCCCCAGGCATGGCACCAGAACCCCTTTGCTCCCGGCCCATTGCGGGGACCTGCACCAACCCCCACGACAGCCTGTCCTGGGCAGCGGCGGAACAGCCCGGGCCCTGCACTTGCACCTGCAGGCACCCTTGCAGGCCAGGGGTTGGGGGTGGGGTGGGGTGGGGCAGGATGTGAGGACTCTGGAGGCCCCAGGGCCTGGACAACTGCCCAGTCGTGCTGGGGTGAAAGAGCTGCCTCGAGCACCAGTGGAGGATGGCCACCGCGGGAAGACCAGCGGGCGAGGTGAATCTGCCATCCATTCCCAAGCCCATGCCTCCAAGGAAGACCCTGAAAGGCTCACAGGGGCAGTTCTAGGCAGGTAGCAGCCAGGGTGGCACCAGCCAAGAGTGTGAGGAAGGCCTGGAGCCCCCGGTTTAATGTCATCAGTTAAAACCTCGCTGGCCTTGTCCACACTCACTCAAAACACCCTCTGACAGCATGCCAGAGCCTTCCACCAGGGCCGCCTGTGGGCCCAGGACACACAGGCTGGCTGCCACAGAGCCCCTGGGTCCCCTCAGAGCCGGCTATGGGGCTGTCCAGGCACCACCTGGCTTGAAGGTCCAGAAGTCCTGCCCAGGCTGATGCTGGACTCTGCAAGGACAGACACATCTGGAGTCACCGACCTCAGGAACAAGCCCAGAGGAGATGCCACTAGAACCTGTCACCTCCAGGCAAGGGTAGCAGCTGCTCCCTGCCACGAGGCTGCCCTTGCGCTCCTCGGGAGACAGAAGGGCCAGACGTCCAGCAGGGAGCCGGTACAGTTCAACAGGAACTGGCCTGTGCCAGGCCAAGGCAACACTCCGTGGAGTCTCAAAATCACACATCCTGCCGGATCTGCTCCGTTTACAAACCAGCACGACTCCCAAGCCTGGGATGGGTGTATCCGAGGCAGGTGCCACCAGGAGGCTCTGCCCTCCAGCCTCGACGTCCCCAGTACCCAGGAAAACAGCCCACAGTGGCATCACTCAGAAGCATAGCCCCCACCAGCAGGACTGGAAGACAGCAACACTTCCAGGAGCAGGCTAGTGGGTTAGAAGAGGTGAGGGCAGAAGGCCTGGGCTGTGGGAGCCGCAGCATGTTCAACAACCCCGCGCTCCACCACTCGCGTCCCGTGGACATCCGTGTCCTCTCTTCCAGGACTCTGCTTCTGATATGCCAGGCGAGAATTATGTGATGATGGACAAGCAGCATGAGGCGAGCAGGCCGCCAGGAAGCCTGCATGGCCAGGAGCGCCGCGACGACAGTAAGAAACAACACAGCAAAGGAGAGAAACCCAGCCCTGCAGAGGGCACTCGGGCCGCAGCCTCACCCACCTTGGCCTTCTCACTGGGCTCACTGGTCGTGCCATACGGGGAGTTGTGCAGCTCCTTGGAGACCACGCAGAGGAACTCGGCCTGGTCTTCACTCCCGTAGTTGTAGGAAGAGCCAATGCTGACCAGCTGGGAGGAGAGAAGGCCAGTGGGATGTGGGCAGAGAGCCTCACACACCTGGCTCAAGACCAGCCCCCCGCCAGGAGGGAAACAGCCTGCAAAGACCCCCCCGCAAAAACGGCCGATGCTCAGGGAAGCTAAGGGACAGGATTCAACCAAGAGACTTTTAACGAACTTACTGAAAATAAAGTCCCTGAACACCGACACTCAAGCTCAGACGCACCCGTACACACACACCACACACACCACGTGCAGGACAGGCCTCCTGTGCCAGCACGTCCAAGCTCCTCTCTGGTTCCTGGCTGGGTCCAGGGGACGCTGAGTGACCCGGGGAGGGGAATGCGACGCTGGAGTGGGCATCAAGCGGGCCGGGCCCGAGAGCAGGCAGCGGGGCGGTGGCACTCTGCCCTGCCCATAAGTTGTGCCCTCCGCACGGGCTCTGAACACACGAGTGTGAGCACACGCCCACACACATGTGAGGGCGAGTCCCTCCCCAGGGAAGCCAGGACCAAGCCTTCCTCTCACTGGGGCTACTGACTGCGAAGGGGCATAGGAGGGCCGCAGCAGCTCCAACAGGCTCAGGGAGAGATGCCGGGGCTGTGGCTTCCCACACCTCAGCCGCAATCTCAGTCTGGGTGTGTCCACGCCCATGGCCCTGCATCCCCGGGCCTCCAGGTCACTACTACAGCCACACAGGAGCTGAGGTCCGACCTGCCTGCTCCAGCTTAGCCCAGAGCCACCAGGGACTCTGTGTTTAATCAAAAGAAAAGCACTAAAATTGTAGTGAGCTATCAGTGGCACAATTATCGAGGCAGTGCCTGGAAGGCCCTCCATCTTTGCCTTCTCTACTGATGGAACTGCCCATGGAGGAGAGGCCAGGGGCGGGAGCGCCACGTGCAGTGACAAGGACACGGTGAGCACCGCCGAGTGAGGGAAGTGTGCAGAGTGGTGCGGGCCGCTCTGGGAAAGGAGAGGAAAGCCCCAGGGCCAGCATGCCCACCCTGTCTCTCTGGTGGAGAGAAGTGGATGGTTTTTAGAGGTTATGGAGGGAACTGATCAGACCCCCTGAGAAACTCATCCCTCCCACCCTTCCCCCAAGGCTAGGTAGGGTGCCCACCTGTCAGCCTCTGCCAGAGATAACACTCTGGATGCTGGGGAATGGGGTCCAGGGAGTTTGTGTTTTGTGTACACATACAGGTATTTGTTTTCCCAAACATGGGACTGATTTTGCAGCAATGCTGTTTTGTAATTTCTTTGTAAACCTTAGGCTTTTCAGTGGGGGTTAGATGGCAAATAAAGCGAGAGTGAAATAAAGAGTTGAGGACGGGGAGGAAAAAAAAAAATAAAAAGGTCTGTTCTAGGAACAGACTGGAAGGCTGTTCTAGGTTCATAAATGCCTCTCAGAGACAGACCTGCCACCTGCGGACCTCAGGGGTGCCCGGCCCCGGGTGCAGATGGAGCAGCGCATATGCAGCCACTCATAATCAGGTCTGCCCAGGGACCACATCCTCACGAGGCGTGCAAGCCTCTCAGAACCTGGCTCTGGCCTTGTCACTGACCACTGGCCAACTCTGGGTTCAGCCCCATCACCTCGTGGGGTCCCAGGCTCCGGCCCCTCTTCCCCTGCAGTTCTGGCTCCTATTTCTAGGAAGCAGACAAGTGAACAAACGTGACCCTCGTTCTGGGGTTTCTCTGGCATGAACGGGGGGAGCACGTTCCCAAGGGAGGAACTGGGCAAAGCGGGTGAGACTTGGGGAGAGAGGAGCTGCTCTTTGCTGTGGGTTTGGGATCCACCCAGAGGAGCTCAGGACAAAGCCCCTGAGCTGGTCTCAGGGAGGATATGCCCATGCAGGAGGCACGGGAACCCCTCTCCCTTCCGCAGGAGCCACAGCGAGGGTGACCTAGTTCACGGATCCTCAACCAGTGACCGCAGCTCCTGTCTCCCCAGCCCTTTTCCAGGCTGCACACCAAGGGACAAAACGAGGGGCGGTGGGAGCCTTCCTTTTCTTTGTGAGCCTGGTGTGACTGTGCTGGGGTCAGGGAGTGAGGAATGCAAATGTAACCACAGGACCCGGCGGACACCCTCCACACCCCCGCCCCAGGGCAAGGGCAGGGCATCAGAGCAGCCCTGCTGGCTACGTCTCCGGGTGGAGAGTGGGACACAAGTGCCGACTGCGCCTTTCATGACATTTCAAGAGGACGCCAAGCATTCTATAGCCTGATTCATTATTTCAAAAGACCCATAAGAAAGGGTAGCCTTAATTAGGAGGGATGCCAGGGGACCCTATGATTTCCCACCGTGGACAGAAAGCTGGCACCAGAGGAGGCTCTCAGGAGCCAGAGGGGGTGGGCTGGGGTCACAGACCTGGTCTCCGCCCTTCAGGACCAGTGCCCAGGGCTTGGGCCGGGCAGGGTCATAAGCCCAAACCTCAGAGTCTCTGCCTAAGACACACAAACAGCGACAATGAGCTTGTGGGCAAGGTACCACCCACTCAAGAGGACATCCTTGCCGTGTTCTCAGGCCCACAGGTAACGGGCTGCAGTTCCCCAGGACGAGAGGCAGCATGCCCACAGAAACACCAGAGCGCTGTGGACAGAGGGCGGTGGGTGGGTGGAAGAGACTTGGCTCTCACCCCTTTTCACAGGCGTCCTAGCAAAAGCAGAGCTGAGGAAAATGAGGGGCATGGCTGAGCCAGAGTCAGCAGCACTTTCCAATCAAGGGCAGGACAGGGGGCTGGGGGACTGCAGAGCAGCCCCAAGGGGAAGAGCATCTATGCCAGCAGCAGCACAAAGGAGCCGGAGCCCCATCTGCTCGGCCAGCACGGAAGGGCCAGGAGGGGCCAGGGCGGACAAGGGAGGGGATGGGTGCCGGGGTCATGCCAGGAGGCACTCAGGATATCGACTCCACACACACACACACACACACACACACGCACACGGAGATGTTAGAAAAAAGCACACAGAACAGTCCTCCCACAAAAGAATGGGCTAGACTAAGAAAAATAACTGCAGAGAGAATACTTGGGAGGTGGTACCCTAAGAACAACTCTTGCTGCTCCCCCCATCACCCGTGACCAATCTAGTCAGGACTGGTACAGCTGCTGCTTGTGAGAGGTGCTGGAGACATGATGGGGACCCATGCTTCCATGAACTGCAGGCCGCCCAACACCTCATTACTGGTCCCGGGGGCCAGCTGACCTGAGGACCCGAGCAGGGCCTTTATAATTAAAAGATCCACTGTGCTGCAGGCTCAGGGGGTACTTTACCTGCTCAAACTTCCAGCCGTCGGACATGGTGGAGACCATCTGCGTGAGCTCCTCCTCCTGACACTGGAGCACACGGTACACGTGCTTCACTGGCACCTGTGAGAAGGGCCACAGGTGAGGGCAACGCCCGTGCCCCGCCCCCTCACAGCCCCACCCCACGTGCCAATTGGGGATGGCGACGGGGGCCCAGGCGACGGGGGCCCAGGGGAGGCCTACGGTTCCCTTCCACCTCTTGGGCCCAGGTCGTGATGCCTAAAGAAACCCCAAAGGCATCCACCGAAGAAGCAAAACAAACATGCTGGAACAGCTGCCGTTTTCTGCTTTCCCATCCACCTCCAAAAATATTTCCATTTCTGAATTCCAAAATAAAATGAGTCATGTTCCTGAAATCCCAAGAGCACCTGTGGCTAGATGTGAATACACGATGACAGCCATTCCTGTGCCTTGGGGGAACCACACAAACTCTCTGAACTAAGGGGGTGCCTTGAGAGCTAAGCAGGACCAGCCTCAGCCCTGCTCACAGAAAAAAGCTCTCAGACACACACAGCAGCTCAGACAGGAGCCCGTGGATCTTCCGATCCACTCACCCACCCGACCTTCGCTGAGCTATGCTCCAAGCTCGGCTTCTGGCAACACCGCAGGGAGCACTGGCCAAAGGCCTGTCCTAATACAGCTGCCGCTCCGGCCGATACACGATGTGTCAGTGATAGGGTCACAGCTCGAAGTACACGGGTCACCACACAGCCCAAGTGCTTTCATTTGTGAAACAGTGGAGGACACTGAGCACTGCTCAGCCTGAGCCTGCTAATTCCCTTGCCAGCCTGTGAGGGGGCCTCTCCCACATCCACCATGCAGGGGGGACACAGGCACAGAGGGCTGGTGCCAGCCCAGGTCACAGGGTTCGTAACCAGGGGGGCTGGGCGGAGGGAAAACAGGCCTCAAACTGGCCAGAGATGACTGGGGAGCTCGTGGCCACATCTCCTGCCCCCTCCCCAGGCCCCTCCCGCTGTCCCGATGGCCCTGTGGCTCCTGCAACAGGGAGAGGGCGGGAGCTGTGTGGTGGGTGGTCCCAGCCTCCCACGCCGTCACCCCACTGTGCCCTCCCCTGGCCCCTGACCAGCCACTCGGAGCGGCCAGGCTGTCAGCAAGCCTCTTCACAAAGGCCAAGAGCTCCAGCTCTGGGCCTGCCGGGTGCCCAGCGGGAAAGCCCGGGGTGGGTGGGGGGCAGTGAAAGGGTTTTAAGTGGACGGAGACTCTTCATGTAGTCTGGCATGAAGCTCTGAGAGAAAGTGCACTTCACAGCAGCCTCCTGACAGAGGGAACCTGCCAGGCAGGGCCTGGCGCTCTACTAGCAAGTGCAGAGCTGGCACTGCAACAAAGACTAATGCCTAGACCCTCTGGTACCTCCCTTCGTGGGAGGTGCTAGACACAGCCCATCTCAAACAACACTGGCCTAATGGGCAGCAGAGTGGCCGTGCTGGCCCTGGCACAGCTGACCGTGGCCAAGTGCAAATGGGTCCCACATGGGGCTCTGCACCATTGGGGACACAGTCCAGCACAAAGAGTACCTACTGAGCCCTTCCTTCCTGGTAAAAGCCAAACTCTCATCGTGCCTACACACACCTACAGGACCCCCACCTCATCCGTCTGTGCCCAGCTTGCCGCCAACTCCCCTGTGCTGTCCCTCCAGCACACTGGTCCTCTGAATGGATTGAGTACTCAGCTACCACAGGCCCTTTGCACTCGCTGTGCCCTGTCTGCAATGCCCTCCCTGAGACGGCCACACACTCAAGCCCCACAGAGGTCTCCTGCTCTCCCTCTGCCCCCTCCTCACCCTCACTGGACCATCCTCCTCAGCAGCTGCTCATCGCTCCCCACTGGAGTGGGGCCCCCGAAGCATGTGCCCTGTGTGCCAGTCAGGGCGCCAGCTGACAGCACCGTGGGAGGTGTCCAGAGGGCGGCCCACAGGCACCAGGACAACTCCAGAGGAAGCCAGTCAGCAAGGAGGGAGGGAAGTGAGCCGCGCCTTTATGCCTGGCCTCGGAAGGTTCCTGCACCTTAGTCACCGGTCTCACCTGTGATGTTCTGCTGTCTCGTTCTCTAATTTTGTCCTTTACAAGTTTTATTAGTGAGGTGATATTGTAAAATTCTGCTTCCTCCAACACCCCTAGAATAAAGAAAAACAACTATAATTCCCACCAGATCAAAGAATAAACGTTGTGCCTCTGCCCCTCAGTGGACCGGTGGCCCGTTCTCAGCCCAGCCAACTGGAAGCCCCCGGCCCCCGTCCTGCCATCCTACAGACTCTGCAGACACCGCTGGCTCTCAGGGCCCCCAGGGTACACACGGAGAAAGGGCACGTTTGTGGACACACGTCTGGCCCGCGTCCTTCCAGGTGACCTGCTGGGTGCTGAGTTCACGCCAGGCCCCCGGGACGTTTCTCGGACAGACCCCCTCCAGAGCCTGCGGCCGTCTGTCCTGGGCTAGCGGCCACCTCACATGGGTCCCTGTGTCACTCAGTCAGAAGACAGCTGGTTGAGAGGCTGCTCAGCTGTGGAACTCCTGCCAACTTAGGAACCCTTTCCTGCCGTTTGCAACGTCCCCAATTTAGGGGCTCTGAATGGCCAGGTAACTCTGAAGAGCGGATGGGAGGGGCCCTGCCTCGGGGCTCCTCATGGGTATTCCAGAAGGTCAGGCGCATGCCTCCTGCCACCATGCCTGGTCGTCCCAACGAGTCTGCACTCTGCACAGCGGGTCCCGGCACTAGCGGCACCGGGGGCTCGGAGCCGTGGACTCTGTCTGACCCTCAAGCTGCAGCCTAATGAGGTCTCAGGGACTCAGCAGAGCGGGTGGTGGGGCAGCCACCGCCCAGGCAGACGTCTCTCTCCTCAAGGCCCCAAAGGGAGGTGCACCTGGCACATCCCATCTCAGGATGATGCGGGGCGACGTCCTATCAACCCTTCCCTTTGGATCCAGGGGTGGGGACTGTGGGGCTGTGAATAAGCCCTGGAAGCCTCAGGATAAGCACTTTGGCCTGAAGGGTCAGCCTTCTACCATCCAGACGCTCCAGGCGCCCCTCGTGCTCTGAGGGGCAGATGGGAAACGGCACCCGTGGGGGCCTTTCTCCCAAAAAAAAGCACTGCATCTGAGGCTGACGGAAGACAGGTGAGTGAGGCCAGGCAGCAGGGGCTTGATCTGTGGCAAGTACCACATTTGCTTTCTAAGCAAATCATGCTGGGAACAGTTTGCCTAAAACTGTACAGCTGCACACACAGAACACACGTGTATGCACGAAAAACACGCTGCAAAAGAAGATGCAGACACGCAGTCGGAGGAGCAAGAGGGCCCGGAGAGAAGGAGGGAGCAGGCTCAGCTCAACAAGCAAAGGGGAGAGAGCCCTGGGCTCTCAGCACCGACCGGACCCTGAGCTGGGAGCCATAGCACGGCAGGCATCTGGAAACGCAGGAAGAACTCAGAGGGGGTTCTGCCAGGGCTGCCCCAGAAGGAGAGCAGACCCGGGGTGACCGACACCGGGGACCCCCGGGAGGTGGCGGGCCCCAAGCTGTGTGAATCAAGGCAACCAGAGAGCAGTGGGCCCCAGGGAGGAGCCCCACCCTCAGGGCACCACCAACCGGACACCTGAAGGAGGGAGTGGGTTGCAGTCCCAACCAGCCCCCACCCAGCTCTGGATTGTCTCAGCTTCCTGGAGGAAGAAAAGGGGAAGAGGCAGCACAGAGCAGCCCTGTTCCCTCTGAGATAAGCATCTGTGAGGGATGGAGCTGGAGAGCAAGGGAGGGCCCCCCCGATCCTGGTCCTGCCTGCGACTCACCTTCCTCGGCAATGTCTTTGTTAATGACCAGCTTTCCGTGTCTCAAGTAGTTCAGCACAGGCCCAAAATAGGTGGGGTCTCTGTCGATTAAATAGGCACCTGTTTCATCCTACAAAGAACAACACACCAAGGTGAATCCCAGACAAGAAAGCGCAGTTCCCACAGCTGGCCCGCAGCCCAGCCACGGCTAAAGGGAGTTTTGGAGGCTTGTGGGCTGTACGTGTCTAATACACAACTGGAAGGATCAGCATTTATGGCGCTTTAGGGAACCCCTAAGCAGTGTCGCCTGCTTCCAGCCACCTGCAGCCGTTGACCCTGATCTGTCACCACTGCAGGTGAAGCCAAGTTTAAGCTCTGCTGCGTCAAGGGGACCTCCCTATTTACTCAGAGGCAAGGAGATTGTGTACAAGGCCTCTTTCCTCATAGCTCCAATAATTCCTGAGAGCGAGTTCATCCTTTTCTCATTTCAGCAACCGTCCCACAAGAGTAACCTGACACACTTTCCCCCATGGGATGCTCTCAAAAGCGGGACTGATACCAACAGGTCAGCATCTGAAAGACACCGCGACCCAGGCCGCCACTGCTCATTTTGGGGCTCCTCGCTGGGCAGGACTGGGTAGTCAGAGGCTCATGGAACACAGCTTCATTTTCTGTTGCCAAGTGACCCCAGAGCTCCCCTGAGACTGCTGACCACCGAGGAGGCCTCCCCCACAGCAGCGCCCCCCCGGGGTCCATCTACAGAAGGCGCTCCCTCCACACCTGGGCAGGCCCTGCTTTGCCCCCAGGGCCAGGGCCTTTCTGAGTGTTAGGGACCCTCACTGCCCACGGCACACAGCATCAGGCATCTTGGCAGGGAGGTGGCGAGGCGGAACCCCCTGAACCTCTTGGACATAGTGAGCCCACGGGCCCCAGAGCTCACTCCCACTGGGAGGAATCTCAACCGTGAAGCGGAGTGCTGTGTTAGGGCCCCCTTCTCACTCATAAGCATCAAATCTGGAATTTTGTGTAATAAACCTGGTGGTTTCAAGGGTTTCCTCCTGAGTCCACAAAGCTGTAAAAACCTGCTCTCCTCAGATCAAATCCGGATGCGGGGCCAGCAGGACCCAGAGCCTCGCTGATGGGTGGGCAGGCCCCGCTCAGCCCAGAGCACCTCTGCCCCTTCTTCTCTCCCACAGGCCCTGGGTGCTCAACCCAACCTCCTGCCTCGATAGGCCACTGCCTGGTCCCCCCATGGGCTTCCTGTCCCCCAGGGCAGCATCCAACCACACACAGATCCCCAACTTCGTCTAAGGAAGCACTGGTCAGATATTGTCCCAAGGGATCCTGCCTCCCGGCCTGGCTCCTCAGCCCTTTCTCCAGACTCCCTAGACCCCTCCTCTTCTCCAAGCAAGGCCAGAAGACCCCTGGGACAGGCTTCAGGAAGAATGATGCTTCAGCAGCCTCCCTACTGGTGAAAAACAGCCGCCATTTCCTACAAAGGGGCCGAGGTCTGGAAAGAAAAGGATGGAGCTGCCACAACACGGAATCCAGGGGCTCTTCCCTGCACCTTGTGGATGAAAAGAGCCCAAGTGTGACAAGTGCAGATTGCCAAGCTCAGGAATTATTCATCGGCTCACTGCTACCTCCACAGACAGCTGGCAGAAGGTCGAGAAGGAAAGATCAGACAAGGACTGGGCTCATCTCCGCCCTCAGGACACCCCAGGGAGCCTCCCTTGTCACACGGGGCTGAGGCCCCACAACGGGGCTCAAGGCCATGCCACCGACACACTGGGTATCTCGCTCAGCACTGGGAGTGGGCGGGAGAGGAAAAGGAAGTGACCCAGGCCTCCAAAGCCTGGAGGGATGGGGGATAGGACAGAGAAGGAGGGAAAGGAGGTGAGCCCACAAAACTGTGGTGGTGGCACGCCCAGGGCCAGGTGAGAAGGCCACCGCCCAGATGCAAAGGGACCCCAGACCAAGCCCTGGAGAGCATTGGAGAGCACTGGAGAGCCAGCGATGGGGCTGGGCCTCCAGACACCAGGCTGACCCGTAGAAGGGCAGGGGTGGGAGGCCGCTGAACAGGGGTGGCTTTTTCACTAAAAGGCCACGTGGCCAATGCTCCGAAGGAACTCCTACCCAGGCCCAGCCCTCAGCTCAGTGCACACCAGGCCAGGCTCGTGGCCCCATTTTAGGGTGCCTGAGGTGAGGCCCTCTAACCCCGGGGGGCTGAGGACTCCCCAGGAGGGACTGGGGATCCAGCACCCAGGCTGGCAAATGCAGAGGTAGCAAGGGGCGGGGGGACAGCACGCCCCCAGCAGCCTCCCCAACATGCTCCCACCCATACCCTGTGCTCAAAGGCAAGTGGCCTCCGTGCTCAACTACCCAGCCATCCAAGGGGAGGGGCAGGCTTGTCGCTGCGTGGGGACCCCTGCCTTCTTAAAAGGAGCAGCCTCACGGATACATCCAGAACAAGGCCAAAGAGTCCAAGGTGCTTGCTGCTAACTGGGCTGGAGCCCAGGCCCAAGGGTGGAAGAGCAAAGAGGACCCCACCTGCGTCTCAGGGTCTGGAACCCAGGCTTTGTATCCACCAACAGACATTCCTGGTGGCCCACCCGGAGAACAAGAGAGGCACTGGTCCCTGGAGGTGCTGGAAGCACAGCTGGGAGAGAGCTGGCACCACGGCGAGGGGGGCACAGAGCCACAGTTGGAGGGAGCATGGAGGTCAAACCCCTGGGGTCCAGGCTCACGCTCAGCTACTCAAGGCGCATTGCTCCTCTCTCCAGGCCTCAGCTTCCCCATCTGTCAAATGAGATACTCAGCCAAGAGGAGGCCGGGGCCCTTCTGGCTCTAACGGTCTGTGTCTAGTCCAACGTCTCTTCAAGGTGACAGAGCTGGGCTCGTGACCTGTCCTGGGGGCTGGGACAAATTCCAAGGCAGAGGAAGCCACATGCTCTGGCCACAGAGATGGGGAAGCACTGAGCCAGGAGACTGAAGCACACACCTGGCCGGGCCCTCGGAGGCCTGCGCCTTCCATGCCTCCTCCCCGGGCAGGAAGCGAAGGCAGTGCCTCCAGTGACACCCTCCCCCCACCCCCACCCCACCCCCCGCCGCACAGTCCGTGGCTTATCTTAAAAACCCGTGTGAAAACCTAGAGGAGGCCATCCTGGGCACTCAATCCACACATAGGTTTAGAAAGCTGGGGCCGAGCACCCCAGAAAGAGAGGCCTGGGTGCTGGGCATCCAGACCTGCACCAGAGCACTGGCTGCCCACAGCTGGGCACCGTCCCCCCATCTCATGCCAGCTCCCTGGGTGTCCCAGGACCCGCTGCCTGAGCCAGCCTCCAGGGCACTGGGGAAGCTGGAATGGGCTTCAGTTGGGAGCCTTGTCACCCCATGCTTCTCCCACGTGGTGTCACCAGCTGAGGGCAGGAAGCTCAGTCCAACAGCTGCCACGCTGGCCCCAGCAGTGTGGCCTTAGCACTCCCTCCCGGGAGGGAAGACCCACCCACCTAGACCTGGAAATGCAGGCCCATGGGGTGACCCTAAGATACTGAAGGTCAAGTGGCCATCCCCTAGCAGTGACAAGCCCACCCCTCCAGCCCTGCCACTGCTAAGCAGACTTCAGGAGGCTTCATGGCAGCTTCCTCCATGGACCCCCACAGGGCTCCCTGGCCCAGTTTCTTCCCGTGGATTTGTTTTGCTCTGATGGGCTTCATTAAGAAACGAGGACGAGGACTTCCCTGGTGGTCCAGTGGTTAAGAATCTACCTGCCAATGAAGGGGACACAGGTTCAATCCCTGGTCTGGGAAGATCCCACATGCTGCGGGGCAACTAAGCCCGTGCGCCACAACTACTGAGCCTGCGTGCTGCAACCACTGAAGCCTGCATGCCTAGAGCCCATGCTCTGCAACAAGAGAAGCCATTGCAATGAGAAGCCCGCACACCACAACGAAGAGTAGCCCCCGCTCGCTGCAACTAGAGAAAGCCCACACACAGAAACGAAGACCCAGCACAGCCAAAATTAAAAGAAAGAAAGAAAGAAAGAAAGAAAAAGAAACAAACAAGGCTGAGACTCTAGGGTTAGGAGAGACTGGGCAGCAGCATGTTGGGGCGGCGCTCTCATCCTACAAGGAGTGCCGGGGGCCCCCAAATTCCACTGGGCTTTATCTTGGACAACAGCCCAGAGGACCGCAGACTGACTCTCGTTTAGAGGCACCCAGGCAGGAGCTCTGGAGGAACACCGTCTTCCAGCACCTAAGCCTGAGCAGCACTGGAGAGTGTACGCGTGCCGGCAAGGGCTGCCTGCACACTCGACTGTGACCAGGCTGCGACTGACACGGGCACCAGGGCCCTCAGCATCTCATGTTGCTTGTGTTTGTAAGTGGCCCTGGGGCCTCCATCCTAAGGCAGAAATAAAGAAAACTACAGAACACAGAAAAAGAGAAAATACCAAAACATCCCAAATTCAGAAGTCTCAGGCTCACTTATGCAAAAGCAAAGAGAGAATGGTCTCTGTGACACCCACACCAGCAGCGGAAGGGGACGCCCGAGGCTTGGCCACTGGCAGCTGTGGTAACAGCACCCCATCCATCACCTGCTCACGGGAGAAGAACCTTGTGATGTGCACTTGGCATGGTCACACTTACAAAAGGCAGCAAGACACGAGGATCTCTCTCCTCCCTCCCTCTGTCCTCTCCTCAATTTATATAACAAGCGTGTGCTACATTTATATAGTGGCAAGGCTTGAGGTTTTTGGGTTTTTTTGTAAAAGAGCCAGAATTAAGATTGCTTGCTTGACAAATCGTTTTCCTCTATTGACTATCCCCACTTCTCACTGAATCTGCATTTGACCTACTTGTGCTGGCTTTTAAAATATATATCTACCTTAAAGGCATAAAAGAGAGAAATGCTGGACTTAGCTCTTGAATATTTAATGGAGGTCATGCCCGTCAGGTTACACACTGTTTGCTGGTGGCTCACTGACACCCAAGTTGGCTGAATCCCACTCCAAGGGGGCCCAGTCTCCGAGGCTGAGCTGCTGGGCTCCAGGGAACTGTGAATCTTGCATCCCTGAGCCTGTGCCGCAGAGGGAACGCCCTGGCCACGGCCAGGAGCACCTTGCCCGCAGTC